TCCAAACTGTTTTAGACCTAAAATAGCTTAGGCCTTAAATGTCAGAGAAAAGGACAGAATCAGAGATTATTTTTTAATAGAAAATTGTACTTTGCATATTATAGGCTACTGTAAAAACACATAATTATAGTTGATTTTAGTTGATCATTATGAAAATTATTTTCATTTCATGAATATAGTGACCAAAATGATCACGGTTAAACACAGAATCTTGTTCAAAAAGTAGGCCTAATACACAATGAAATCTATTCACCAAGTTAATAACATTAAAGATGATGGCCAAATTTTAAAGGAGTGTGTTTTATGTTATCTAATAACATGTACACGTTCAAATAAACTTTTGACAAAAATAGATTTTATAAAAAGATAAACCTCACATATTTCAGCCTTTAAATCATCTTTATAAAAAGAATGGGTCAATAAAGATAAATTCCTGATATTTATAATGCACAGTAGCTTATCTTTTATTATTAATAGTAAAATTCGGTCCGATTTTCCCATGGCTGTCGTTGCTTTACAACCATGCACTGCGCTCTCCACAATGACAAAGAAGTTTTAGTAGCTAATGGATTTCCACCACAGAAAAACGCTTGCTGTAGCTCTGCTAAAAGATTTATTTACGGAGAAGAGAAAAACACCCACGTGTTTGGGTGCACCCCCATACTGAAAAGTTTAAAAATGTTCATCTCGCTGCTCCTGGAAAAAATGAGCGCATCGCTTCAATTATGAGCGCGCTTCCCGTGCGCCTACATTTGAAACAACGACCTCGAGCGCGCAAAAGACGCGATATGTGAACGGCCCCTTGCCTTGGTGAGCTCCTCCAATCAGGAGACCCCCTTGACATAGCTTCTGTGCACGGCACCTTCTCAGCAAGCAGGGGCGCCATTGCCAATAATTGAATTGAAATGATAGAAAATAGAAAACCTTCGCGGCGCAGAGGATTTTTTTTAACTGCTCGTGCCGCCCCCCATGTGACATGAAAAAATGCCGCCCCTGGCGACTGGCCGGTTCGCCCGTGCCTAAAACCGCTACTGTGTGAGAGTGATCAGTGGAAAGAGGTGTGTGAGTAATCAGTCCAGGGTGTGTGCGTGAACAGTCCAAGGACGGCAGTGCAGAGGTGGAGCGCCCTCTCGTGGCACTCGAGGGCAATCCAGCCGAACATCGTCACAGACAGGTAGAAATATACTGCGCCCAAAGCTTTTACAGTTACTTTTACATGTGCCGAATATACTAAACCTGATTCCCAGCCGAGGTGCCGCGGTGAGAGCAGGGGTGCCGTGTAAAAATCCTTCAAACATTTTTAAATTGTTAAAATGTGTATATCAGCAATTTCTGAAGTCCCTAATAGTAAAGAATACATGCACAAATGGATAGTAAAAATGCAAATCATAAGGGGTTGATCTGAATTTCGCTGCAGGATTGAGGGCGTTTCGCTAATTTTCATTCCCGCGCGCACATAAAGCCACCTCTCATACAGTTTGCGAGTGCCAAACGCACTTAAACGGTCAAATACACCGAACAATAATGTCACAATGTTCGGCTTGCCGAGTATTCACATAAGCACAATCGTCATAAGTGAACATAGAAAGAAAGAAAAGAAAACTCGAGTGGGACACTGGATATGTGTGTCAGTTCTTTAAGTGAAAGCAGATTTAATAAACCTGCCGCTCTCTATGTTAAAGGGTTAGTTCACCCAAAAATGAAAATTCTGTCAGTAATTACTCTCCCTCATGTTGTTCCAATCCGTAAGACTTTCGTTCATCTTCAGAACACAAATTAAGCTATTTTTGATGAAATCTGAGAGCTCTCACTCCTCCATAGGCTGCTGGGTAATTTCTTCTGCCGGCACCAGAAAAGTTAATATAGACATCGTTAAAATAGTCCGAGTGACTACAGTGGCTGAACCTTAAGTTTATCAAGCGACGAGAATACTTTTTGTGCGAAAAAAATAATAAAAAAAATAACGACTTTATTATATGCTGTAGTAACATAGGGTTTGTAATATTAAAATATGAATGCAACAACATAATTGTTTGATTAGGAAAACCTCAGTGAATCAGTCTATGTCATGATGATTATAAAACCATCACCAGGTAACCATCATCACCTGATCTCATTTCACTTTAGCTTTCTTTGCTGCACATGCGCTTGACAAACACACTGTCACAACGACCAAAAAAGACAAAAGATATAATAAAAGTTAAGACCCCAACTAATAGAAACACTAATCACTTTTATGGTGACTTCAAATGAAACAGAGTTAAACCTCTGTTAATTCTCAATAAGAGCTTATGTAGAAGTCTGACAGAAATAAAGTCAGTCTGGTTAGTAATAAGTGAAGCTGGTAATGCTGTTTGTGGAGTTGTTTAATCCTCCTCTGCTGAGATCTTCAGATTTAATGTCTTCTTTTATCTTCAAGTGATTTCATCTAAGACTGTGTCTGAAGTCAGTTGTAGTTCTTGTGTTTCTGCTCGTCTCTTTTTCTATTCTCTTCTTTCCTTCAGTGATTCTGCTTGTTAACAGGCTTATTAAGGTTGAGATGATTCCATATTTAATATACACAGATTTTGTGGCTCAGATAAAGTCCAGTTCTGGTTTATTTCTTTGCTCTTGGCTGACATGTGGCATTGCTATGGCCTGCTTGTGGCCCAGATCTGGCAAACAGGAGTGAGCCGCCCAAGGGCCGTCATTCCACGCTGCATGTGGGCCAGATCATCTATCCACGGGTGCCAGATGTGGGCCGACACAATGTTGCTCTCTGGGTTTTTTAATTTTATTTTAAATAATAGTTGTATTACCATACACAACTCGCAGAGCACTCAGTTTAAGGGGCAGTAAAATTCCCTTTCCTCTTTTAATCAGACTGAATATGAAATTAAGATCCAGATCTGTCAGTTCAGAGAAAAGAACATACAGTTTCGAGAGGGAAATTAGTTGCACTTTATTTCAAATATCTGTTTGTCACATCAGTGAACAATAATTCACAAATCAACCACTAGAGGGCCTAATAGTGCAGTTTAACCAATAGAAACAGAGACAGACAGCCTGAAACTGCATGAGGTTCATAATCAGGTTTATTGAAGCACTGGCTCTAAACATACGAAGTAAAACATGAAAAGGAAACTCTGTATAAAATACACAATGCAACATAATAGATAAAACATAAAATAAAAAACAATGCATTTCAATATTGATAAGCAGTACAGATCACTGGATTTTTTTATTTTTTTGTCAAAACATCTTTTATTATTTATTAATGTCATATCGTTATACAAAGAGTTACAAACTGCATTTTGTTATTTACATAGATGTGCAACTGACATTGTTTGGATTAAATTCAGATGAGATTGTCATGTATAAAATGTGAACATTGAATAATCGCTGAATAATATTTTTGGATTTCTAAGCTTACGCCTAAAACTCAATATCAAACATTCTGAGTTATACATATAATATTGACCTATATTTATATAGAACAAAGTAACCAAAGCATCAAATACACAAGAAACAGACTTTACATCAGTCCAGACCACAATGACTGCCATTCTCTCACAGAGTAAAATAAAACTAATGCATCTTAATGTGTGTGATGAACTGTTTGTTGGTTGTGGTTCGAGATGGGTAAATTATTCCACAACTATCCAATAATCCATTTTATAGTCTAGATTAATATCTGAACACAGGCTTCTGTCACTCATTTGACGCTGCTGTAGATCACTGATGCATCTTCCACAATCTGAACAGTTGATCGCCTAAACAATCAAACAAACAGCAGCACAACAATATTATAGCTGATATAACAAGTACTGGTTAAATTGGTGCTGGTTAAGTTGGTTGGTGCTAAGTTGGTATTGGTTAAGTTGGTGCTGGTTAAATTGGTATTGGTTAAATTGGTGCTGGTTAAATTGGTACTGGTTAAGTTGGTGTTGGTGAAGCTGGTATTGGTTAAGTTAGTACTGGTTAAGTTGGTACTGGTTAAGTTGGTACTGGTTATGTTTGTGCTGGTTAAGTTGGTACTGGATACATTGGTGCTGTTTAAGGAGGTATAAGTTGGTACTGGTTAAGTTGGTGCTGGTTAAGTTGGTGCTGCTTAAGTTGGTGTTGGTAAAGCTGGTATTGGTTAAGTTGGTGCTGGTTAGGTGGTACTGGTTAAATTGGTGCTGGTTGAATTGGAGCTGGTTAAGCTGGTGCATGTTAAGTTGGAACTGGTTAAGTTGGTACTGGTTAAGCTGGTGCTGGTTAAACTGATACTGGTTAAGTTGGTACTGGTTAAGCTGGTGCTGGTTAAACTGGTACTGGTTAAGTTGGTACTGGTTAAGCTGGTGCTGGTTAAACTGGTGCCTGTTAAGTTGGTACTGGTTTAGTTGGTACTGGTTAAGTTGGTACTGGTTAAGCTGGTACTGGTTAAGCTGGTACTGGTTAAGCTGGTACTGGTTAAGTTGTTTTTTCTCACCTCACTGCAGCATCCGGCTGATACACTCTTATATCGTCATATTGACTTTCACTCTCCTCTGCTCTCTTCGTCTCGGTCTTTCTGTGATGTTGGACAGTTGCGTACAGGATCTCCTCAGTGTCTCTGGATTCAGGAGTTTTTCCTCTGAATCTTCTGGATTTCACACTGGCATACGGAGAGTCATTGGCTGAATCCGGTTCAGAAAGAGGCTTGTTAATTGTAGAAGAAGAAAAAGACAGAATGAGTTTCAGAAGTGAAATAATTAAACTGCTGATGTAAATATACTAATGATTATCACATTATTAGAAAATATATCTATATTAAAACTTTTTTTTTCTTCATGTGTCACGCCACCTGACGGCCTGTTTGAGAATCACTGGTCTAAAACAAGATAAATATTAGTTTATGAACGTTTTTACTGGATTGTATTGATAACGTCTAATAGTTGACAATGTTAGTTTCCCATCAGTCTGTACAGTTACAGTCTGAAACAAAAAACAATTGGTTTTCTGCTTCTGTAAAGTCATGTTGTGTTTGGATGAATTACCTCTTTCACTCTGTGATCTTCAGCTTTAACACTCCTTCGTTTCTTTCTGTAATAATGACAGTCATTCAAAAATATGAATGATGTTTTTTAAAACATTACTAATAAAACACAAATTTGCCATATTCTTTTACATCAGACCAAAAGTGAACTTATACAATCACTGCAGTTTATTATTGAGCTCACAGTATAAACAGTATGATGAAGATGATGAAGACGATGATGAAGAATAATCCTCCAGATGCCGCTGCGATCACAATCACATTCCTACCAGCAACATGATGAACTGAAAGAGGAAGGTCATCATGATTAACTCTCCAAACTGATAAATGATGTGAAGATACAGGAGTGTGTTAATAAAAGCTTCACCTGTGACAGTTACAGCGTCTGATCTCTGAGATCCATGTTGATTGTGAGCCTGACAGTAGAAGCGTCCACTCTGTAGTGCACTGAAACTCTGTCCATATCCAACAGCTGAGGTTTCATTCTCCTTAAACCAGCTGAAGTTCAGAGCAGGAGGGTTTGAGTCACTGATGCAGTTCAGAGTCACTGAATCTCCCTCCACTATTACACCAGATCCACTCATCAACACTGAGACGTTCCTGGGTGGGTCTAAAAAGGACAAAAATTAAATCTTTAAATCATCTCATTCAAACACAATCTCTGGTTTTTAAAAAGAACAAGTGAATCTGCTCTCACACATGACATTGAGCTGAACATCAGGAGAGACGTGAGTGTGTCCGTCTACAGCACAGCTATATCTGCCTGAATCCTCTCTTCTGACTGACTGCAGCAGGAGTTCATTGTTTCTGTCTCTTCTCTCAGTTAATGGCTGTGAGTTTCTGTACCAGATGAATGTTGCTCTGTCAGTCAGAGCGCAGCTGCTTTTACATGTCAGACTGACTGAATCTCCCTCTGTCACTCTCTCAGGAGACTCCACCTGAAGATCTGAACACAACACACACATTATATCTAGTGCTGCTGTCATACACTGATTATTATTCAACATAATGCACAGAAGAAGAGATAAACCTCACCAAAGTCACCTGTGACAGTAAGAGTCACTCCTGGAACACCAGTCCATTTTCCATCAGGTTTATCAGTGATGAATCTGAAATAGTACATGTGTGAATCCTTCAGTGTCACATGACTCAGTCTGACGGTGCAGTTCTGCTGTTTATCTCCCAGATACTGAAGCCTCTGACTGTATTTAGTGTCATTAGACAGATCTGGAGGCTCAGCACCTCCAGATGCAGGCTTGTTGGTCCAGAACGCTTTCTTGATCTGATGTTCAGTAGGGTATGTATAAGTGCATCTCATTATCACTGTTGAGTCCTTTAGTGCACAGATGTGTGAAGGACTGTAACTCACACCCCAACCAGCACTAGAAACCCCTGAAACACAGAATTCATACAGCTGAAAATGTTGTTTTATCAGTTCCAACAGATCACAAAAACGTTAGTATACTTGTAAACAGTGACTCATTACAGGGAATATTATAAGTGAATCTTCTCAGAATCTTTTGAGTGATAAATGATCTAAGTGTGAATTTCTTTATCAGTTTTGATGGAGGATGTTGCAGAAATAAACAGAAGTGAAACCAGAGCAAATACATCAGTCATGAACAACATGCTGCCCTCTAAAATAATCAAACACTTGACAATTAAGTCTAAGAAAACGTCTATATGCTGACAAAATCTTTTGACACACAAACCTCTTCTTCAAGGGAGCCAAATCCTGTTCCTGGAGATCTACCTTCGTGCGAAGTTCAGATCCAACCCTGATCACACACACCTGTCTGCAATGATCACGTGATTCTGCAGATCTTCATTAGCTGGTTCAGTTTTGTTTGATCAGGTTTGAAGCAGAACTTTTCAGGAAGGTAGATCTCCAGGAATCTATCACATCTCCACAATGTCTTCTGAGAAAATGTACCAAAAAATCTGTTTGTCCAATCAAATGCCCTGATGAGTGAGAAAGTCCCTCCCCTAAACCACCGGACACTGACTAGCAAGTAGCAAATTAGCAATTCATGTTTATATTAAAGCTATGGTATACGATTTCAAAGATTGTTCATTATTAATACCCTCGTTTAGATGCTGGTTATGGTTATATAGTACAATCCTAACAATAGGAATAGAAAAAAGAATGAAAAAAATCCATTCACTCTATTGGCTGTGCAGCCGCAGAGAAGTTGACCAATGTAAGCTGTCCGGCCGGACAGCTTACATTGGTCAACTTCTCACATCCAATCACCAGCTCCACTTGAAACTCCGCCTGGCGCTCGCGTCTCCACCGCACCCGCCCCCCTCCTGCGTCATGAAATAAGCAGCTGACAGTCTATGGTAGCTAGCTAAGTAGCATATCAGCAATGGATAAAAAAAAAGACAGCATCAAGCATCCCCTGCTTGCCCCTACAGTAAAGTTAGGACGAAAGAGAAAGTCATTAGAGGAACGAGCAGAGATTAAAAAAAAAATGTGAAGAACGCCGAACTTTGAGTAGGATAAATATACGGTCCAACATTGACCATTGGAGGAAGCTTCAGGAAGATCTGGGACTGAAGACCGACGCTGACACGGCTGACTTTTTGTTGAGCAGGTAAACATTTATTTATGCTTTTATGGTGTGACACTGACGTGTTACATAAACAGCTTTTTATCAGTTTGACAACTTGCTCATGCTGCCGGTCGGCATTGGAATGTTAGCCGTTTAGCATCGCCTATCACGGGTCAAAGTAATTATATTTCTTGAAGTCCTTGAATATATTTCAGTAGGCCTAACGTTAGCGGGTTTCTGTTCGAGCCGATCGAAATTTGAACAAGATGCGCTGTGTGCTGCAATAAAAATTACTGAAAACCTTAGCAATACTAGTAGGATTATACTAATGGTGGTGGGGGGTTTAGAACATTTCATGTGTTGCTAATCTTGCGTTGACGTGAACTCAAACGTGACATTGAATTGTTGATGAAGCAACTAAGTTCAAGTGTCTAAAGGCAATTTCACATATGATGTGTCATTAGCGAGGTCATTAGATTGAACATTACATGAACTGACATTACATCTCAGTTCCGATGTTTACTACCGGTGATCACAGCTTGACTGAGTGACGTAGTTCAGTTCGTTTCCCGGTGGGAGGGATCAGGTAGCACAGAGGGGAGGGGTGTGTGTGTGGAGGGGCGGGATGAGTTTTTTAAAACTTCCCTACCGTCTCAGGCTTTCTCGACCGATTTTTAACATCGTATACTATAGCTTTAAGACTGTGACGTAACTAAAAACTACAGGATATTTATAAAATAGACAAGACCACTGGCATGCCTCTCCCAAACTTCATGCTTCAAAAGGAAATACATCAACATACCACAGAAAACTGCTCATTAAACACGCATTATGCTGTCTTTGAAAATAAAAATTAAATAAAAAAGTAATGTAACATTAACTCACCGTGAATCATGAGCAGAAAGATCAGAGGAAGAGGAGGAGCCATTCTGACCCACATCAGCATAAAATATATCTATAATACAGCATTAAACATCACTATATGTTCATAAACAGTGTATGTTCATCACCCTAAACAGTTCTTAGCGTTAATAAGATCTTTGCATATCTGAAGATTATTAATGCACAACATCAATTTGTGTAAATGAACTGATCATTAGATGTACAGAAGATATTTCTCAGGACAAGAACTGATAAGAATGTAAAATGTGTACCTTGAAATGCAATGTAAGTCGCTTACAAAGCGTCTGCAAAATGCATAATGTAAATGTCAGAAATGATGTGTTATATGAGCTTCATCTATATAAATAATCATCAGTTTTCATTTATTAAATAAGAGTGTGTTTGTCTTACCGTGTTGTTGCTCATCAGATCAACAGCAACCAAATGACTGTACTGTATTAACACAAGCACTTTTAGCTTTACAGTGAAGGACTTTAAAATGTGTGAAGTGTGGTTAACACTGTTTTTTACACACAGCTGCAGAATGCAGGGATGACGTATTTTTGTAGACATTTTAGCACTTCCGAGTGCATCGTCCTGAAGTCAATGGGTTTTTTAAATGGGTTTTTGGTTAAATGCTTGATAAAAGTTCTGTGGTGAACACAAGCTCAAGATATTTCCATATTTTTTTTATATTATATGAAATACATATGCAATACACATGCAATACTCTCTTTTGATTTTTTACAATCTTTTATGTATCTTAAAAAAGGCAATTGCTAACAAGTGGGCAAATGGGACCACCACGGAGGTTGTCTGGGACATTAAACTGTTACGGTTCAGGATGCATCATGGGCTTCCCATGTTGTCTGTGTTTGTCCTGACATGTTCTGCAGCTCATGACCTGGGCAATCAGCACTGACTTAGCAGCGTGCACAGCAAAATCACCAGTGTTAAATTAACACTGCTCAGTGTTTATATGAGTCCACACCCAGAGAGTGTTAAATGAACACTGAAGCAGTGCTAAAGTTAATGAGATAATTAAGTGATTAATTGAGTGATAATTGAGCATTATCGAAGACACCTGATGTTAACAAGCAGAATCACTGAAGGAGAAAATCGTAATTGATATGTTACCATTATGGAGATCAGTGTTTGCTTTAGTTGGGCTCTTGACCCTTAACTTGATCTTTAACTTTAGTTCTTTGATTGGCTGCTGTACCTGAGTTATAACAGCCAGATGAACAAAGAGAAAATGTGATTTGATGGTGTTAGTTGTGTTTTAACATTATCTCACAATCATTTGACCTGAACAGAGCCCAATTTCTGAGTTACGTTTACTTTATTGATTATAGCAGCACTATCCTTGAAAATCATAATAATTGCAACTTTTACAATGTAATCCAAATAATTTGTTAAAACTTAATAATATGTGACCGATCACGGAAACTAGGGACACAAGTCGGTTCTTCGGCATTTTGAGTTATTCATAGATTCTGAAAGTGTAGTCTCCAAGCTTTCCAACGATGTGTAACACGTGGAAATCTGATAATATTTGGAGAAGTTGTGGCCATTTGAAGGTAGGAACTCAAAAAAGGTAAAATGGGTGA